TTTGGGGGGGCGGCGCCCCCTGCCATTCTTTCCTACTTCTGTCTCCTCCAAGTTGGCACCCAGGGTGGGATCCCCAGATGTCCCGCCTTAGTTATGCCATTGCCGCTAGTGACTTAATTGTAGTTAATGAAACTAGCTTTGATTTTTTTTAATTATTTTTTTTAGATTTTTAACTCAATGTTTGATGATGTGCCTTTTTTACTCAATTATCTAAGAACTCTATTCATGAATGTAGGAATATTTTAAAAAAGTGAGTTTCTGTTCCCACAGATACTGTATCCTTTTAAACTTAATAGCGTGGAATTATTTAGTTTTCATAAAAACCCTTCCAGGTCTGGCTTTGATTGCACAATTACAGTAGCTGCAACTTTACCACTAATATCACTTAAATTAAGGGCACTTTCTATTAAAGACTCTTTTAAAAATGTCTTGTATTTACATTTTAGGCTCTGCTTAACTCTTTACAGCAATGTCCTTTGGAGGCCAGGGTATTGCATATCACAGAAAGCCTTAGTGTGCAACTCTGTGCTGTGCTTTAAAGTAGAAATCTTTCACAAAAAAAAATATATATAAAATCCCTCTATGGGAGTCTGGGTTTATTTTTGTGTAAAGCCCAAAATATTGCCCAGGAAAACTAATTTTCTATTTTTTTAATTTGGATTTTGTAACATAATCTAGTAGCTGAAACAGATTTCTACAGATATAGCAGGAGACCAAAATACATCGCAAAAAATAAATATATGAAGAGAAACTGGTGTTAAATTGTGATGAATGTACTATTTATTTTGGTGAGTGGGTGTGATGCAATATTAAACTGTTAGTGTGTAAATAAGGGTGGTTCTAGTTTTAGTCTGTGATTTTCCTTTTCTGCTGAAAGGGTCATTTGTGCACAATGTCTTTTCACAATGTGACAAATAAGGTAAAAAAAAAACAAAAAAAAAAACCCTTACCTAGCTTAACTGTTTTCTGGTGCTGTCAAAAAAAAAAAAAAAAAAAGTGTATACTTTTGCAAGCACAAGAGTGCAAATGAAAGTTTTGCAGAATATGTATACAATAAATTACCAGGCATTAAACACTTATTGACACTTCTCATTGGTTTACTTTATGGAAGACAAATCATTGTCTGCTATATTGTATTTTTTCACAGTCATATACAAGTCACTATTAGCCCCAGTAGTCTTCAAGGAAGAGAGAAAGTCTTCATAAACTTTTATGTAGCCAACACGAATGTATAAAATGTACTGGGGTTACTTGACCATTCAGGAAAGATGTGGAGCCTATAATTAGGGTAAAGGGCAATTTAGGATTGAGCATGGTAGTCTGAAACATTTAGTGTTTTAGTCTGAAGTCAGGCAGAAGGTATAGTAGATTTGTATTTTATAAACTAAATCAGAGATGCATAAGCTTTCAGTGTCTTGCTTCATGGGATGCTATGAAGAGACTGCAGGAAGCAGAGCTTCTAAACAGAAAACACTGATAATACAAAGAATAGGGCAAGAGGAAGGAAAAAGGAGGGGGGCACTGCTAGGAGAGGCAAGGTGGGTAGGAGAAAGGAAAAACAAAGCTATTAATCCACCAAGGAACATAATGGTTATAAAAATCCAATTAGGGTTGTGACACTGCACAGCGGAGGAATGTTGAGCATAGGTTTTCCATTTCAAATACCTTTGAAGCGTTAATTGTTTAACCAATATTAGCTTACAAAAATGTTTGAAATCCTGTCTGGTGACTAGTTTGTAAAACACTGAATGGTCATGTGACAGTCATGCTGTGCCCCTAACCTGTGCTGACTTCATAACTTCTGACCAGCATATTTTCATTGAGGTCTAAATCTGCTGACGGGCATCAACTAGATGCACAAAATGGAGGGAGGAGCCGTTTCATTTCTATCAGGTATCATGACAGCCTTTGTTAAAGTCTGTGAGATGCAGAGGCTGAGCATGCATCTCTGTTGCCTTATTCCTTGTGTGGTTATCTATGCCTTTTGAAAATCAAGTATTAATATTGCTGTTCTGATTTGGGAACAATGTACAGCACTTTCATCTGAGTGTGGATACCCAAGATACAAAGTAGAGGAAATCAGGCCATCTGCCTCCCTTTCTTTTCGAAGGGAGATGGCTTAATGTTTTAAGAGTAGATTTAAAAGCAGAGGCTATTCCAGGGATTATATTTTGCCAGTAAACGTTTAAAAGCTTTTTTTTTTTATTTTTTAAGTTGCCCTATTGAGCTATGGGCTTTCTAGCTCATTTTCTCTCTTAACTAAAATCCCCTCAAATGCTTTTATGTTACTTTAACAGTGTTTTAAATCTTGTATACAGTGCTAGTTCTAAATAAACCATATTCAAATGCCTGGTAGGTTTTGCTTTAATTAGCCTAAAGAATTTACTAAAACTGGACTTTTGTAGAAGCCATAACGACTGCTGTACAACAGGTTTTAGAACTGCTAAGTACAGGCTTATTTAATTTGAAGGCATTTTGAGATCCAGAGTTTTTAATAACTTGTTTGTGAAATAACCCACATCAAAACACCTTTTGAGCAATACGTTTAGTCATCTGGTGGGTATTAGAAAATAGGTTGTTCTCACCATTTTAACTGTATATTTATTTTAAATCATCATTTGTCTTTTTTTTTCTCTTAATCCCTAGATTCTTGGATGTACTGATATTTTTATGATGTTTTGTGCAGAACGAACTGGGATATAAAAGGTTCCAAGAATAATTAGGTTTACTTCCAATTGAGTATATTTAATACTTGTGACTGCCTTCTCTGGGCTAAAGTCAGCGACTTCCTCCAGAACAACTCTGTTGCTCAATTTATCCTTGTGACCTTCTTCATTCACTGCTCTCTGCCCTGTCTTGGCCCAGTTCTTTTATCTGCATCATTTTCTCTGGACCAATTGAATTTTTTTTGCAGCTCATGTTCACTGTAGGTGCTACTTGTACCCAAATCCTCCATGTGAGTCTTCTGGTAAAAAGCAAGCAGCTGGTCCTTGTTTTTCCCCTGTATGAACGTTATCTTTGAAATAAAGATTTATTGAAAACTCCCCTGTATCTTACCATGATACCAACATCTGATGTCAGCAGACATGACTCCCTGTGGTTTGAGACTAGAGGCCAAAAAAATCATTTGTTGGTATACTGTAATTGTAATTAATGTCAGAATATTGATATGATCAGTAAGGTGCTGTGCTCAAGTACTTCATAGCAGATTGCTACCACATTCTAGAGAGAATTAAGAGCTCTGCAGGAGGGTGGGGGAAGTTACGTTATGTACCAAGGCCCATTTCTCATTTTATGCGAGCAACCCTTTCTGGCCTTCATAATGCACCAATTGTGATGGACACACAGCTTCTGACCTTCACTGCCATTGTACACGTGCCATTTTGCATACATCAAACAATGGTTCTTGTGTTCTGATGGTTTTTGGTCCTGTTTAGGCTAGGTCCTTTGCATACTTTGAATGATTCAGAAACTTAAAAAAATATATTCTGATGGTGTCCAGAGTCTTTACCCAGTTACTGTTGCTTTTCTCAGTATCATACATGCTTTTCTATGTATCATACAGCAACTGTAAGTCATCTTGTAATTATTTCATTACAAAGTTGGCACAGTGCTGGAAAGGCAGGGGCTTAACAACAGTTGCTTTTCTCTTGCTACAACATCAGATACCATCTTGCAGCAAGTGTTTCAAAGAAGCAGTTCACAGGACTCCTGGAGGGGCCCTATGCCAATTCTGGTATGTGGAGCCCTACTGGGGTTGCAAGTTGGCAATGGAGGGGTGAGTGATGGATGTGTTCATGCCCACAGTGGTTAATGCCACTGCTACTCACCCCATTACTGGAGGTGAGTTCAGATGCATCCTGCAGGGAGACAGGTGGGGGTAAAGGAGCCTGACATCCTTGATCTATAACAAAGGTATAGAGTAGTCCTGGCAAAACATCTTATGCTGAGTCAGTCTCCTAACAGGTTGTCAATCAACAGACCTAGAGATGATCTACCAATTTTAAAATTAAAAACAGGCCTGTATGTTAACCAACAGGAATCCTGGGAATTCCTTGCCCTTGCTGGGGAACTAACGGTGTGTAAACTTAAGTTTGTATCATGTGTCTGAGGCTAGGAAATAAGTTTTTTTCCGGCATTCCGGTATGTTATACCAGGGGTTGTCAACCGAGGGTATGCGAGAAGGCCCTAGGGGGTATGCATGGGTGGGCAAGGATGGAGCACTACCACACGCCCTCCTGTGCTGCCACACAGGTGCCACCCAGCTGTCCGGACACGGGAGTGGGAGAAGCTCGCATACAGCGGCTGCCACTGTTCCACAGTCAGC